AGCGTGCCTTCATTGGACCACTGCCACAATTCAAGAGTAGCCAAAACTTCCTAAAATTTACGGACACAGCACAATGCCTTGGGCTAGCGATTGACCGGCAACTATCCTGGAATGACCATGTTCAAATTGTGTGTAAATCATTCAACAAGAAACTAGGTGTTTTGAAGAGAATTAAGTTTTTACCTAAGTCCACCGTGGAGACTATCTATTTCAAGACCATAATCTCATCCGTCCTATATGGAGTTGCTGTTTGGGGATCATGCTCTTGGGCCTTACTGGAGAAACTTGAGCGTATTCACGCACGAGCTGCACGGCTAATCTATAATCTGCCGAGGGAAACAACCATAAATGACTTGAGAAATCTAAAGGGTTGGTCTCCCCTTTCCCACTTCTACACAAAAAGGATCCTATCAATAATTTACAAATCATTCCATGGGTTCAATAATGATCTACTTAATAAACTAGTTACAAAAAGTGCCCAAGTGTATGGCCTTAGAAAATCCTTGAACATAAGTGTAACAAGACCAAAAACTGAAACAGGACGATTGACCTTTAAACATAGGGCTGCCATTGCTTGAAATACTCTCCCGGACAGCATAAAGGAGGCGTCCAGCCTTGAAGCTTTCAAAGAAAACCTGAAGAAAAACAAACTGATCTTGAGCAGTATATCTTATTCAAAGGAATCTTCATCAATTACGAATAAGGACGATATTTATACATATTTTTGAACTAATTATTGTAATACTAGTAACCTCTATATATATGTACGTAATTCTATTTCTTAATTAAGTGTAAAGTTTAAATTAGTTAGCAGGTCCACATCAGGACTTTAGTCTTGCCTACCTAGTAACCTTCTTTATCAAAGAAACCATGTATGTATGTATGTAGAAAGCGCCGATGAATTTACGCGGGGAACTTACGTCATTGAAATTTGATTGGTTTTATCGTGAAACCAAAGGCGACGTGTGATTGGTGTAAACTCGCATTATCACGTGCATTCACCGTGAAATCTAAACAAAGGGAAAGGAATGTGGCTCGGGTGCTTAAAAGCAGCCGGTTGGTGGGGGAGGGAGCGTTGTGTGACGAGCCCACACAACGGCTGCGAAGGAGACTACACATATCGTTGCAACATGAAAATTAATTGCTCATGTAGACGGGCCTTTAGACCTTGTGGAACTCAGAATATAACGTAGCAATGCTAAAGAATACTCTCCTTGGAATATAACGGATATCAAGGTCTTAAAGGTGACAGAATAAGCTCTCGAGTCAACGACAGTACGATTCTCTTAAGCCTGCGAATTGTGGACGTAAATTGGAAACCAAACTTTCGGACTTCAAGCAGGGCTTAGCGACAATGTGACGATTCAATGGGCGATAAATTTTATCATGTGTACCGCAGCATTTCTGAAGAAACGCAAATTATTATTGCAAGGAAGTTTAACGTCAGCCACACTTAATCGCCGACGACGTAGACTGCTTGGCATCTGTCCAACTCAAATTTGCTTCAGTGGCATCTGGATCTACTCTAGCCTTTTTCGGGGGAGGCATTTTCACTTTGTCGATCGAACGACGAAACAACACTGGGCTTGGTAACCATTCCATTTCGAATGTTCCCGGAGTTGTCGTTGTGTGTAAACGGTCAGGAATCCGAATATCCTTTCAGTGTAAACGCCTACGAATCCGAATACTCCAAAATTGATGAATCCGGAAACATTTACGAATCCGGAAAACTCTCCTCTAGTGTAAACCTAGTCTAAATTGAGTAAGGTCACCCTGAAAAATAAAGCATAGTTTCCAACTTATGAGGTACCAGAGAATATCGCGGGACCAACGCCCCTTGTGTCGACTTTTTAATTAGGAGTTCTTATCGAAGACGCTAGCAACAGCAAAGAAAGCTCTGCTTTCTCCCAAATTTCAGCGAATCAGTAGGTTCTTGTGACCGTGGCGTCAGTAAACTTGCGAGAAGAGAGAGATTTTACATGCAACGGCCGCG